CAAGTTATTATTTTTCTGGGTTTTTTAATTGATTATTTCAATGACAAAATTGGAAAGTGATATGGGGCTAAAAAGGTAACATTGGACTGTTTCATTCCACAATTAACACTCTCTCTCTCTCTCTTACCATGAATCAAGCTCGTACAAACGTCAAGGTCATCATAAACTTTTCTCCTTTGGAAAGGGGCTCAAGAAAATATATAATTTGATGGTGATGTCGCATTATCATCAACAAATTATGAAATACCACATAAATTAATTAGACATCTGCTATGTAATATTTTAATATTAATTGGTAATAAAATATGTCAATAATACAACATACCCAATAAGCATTTACTCACCCGCCCCTTTTTGGATCCACGTAGGGGCCAAGGTGGGCATGGACTCACCTTCAATTTTTTTTTTCTTATTATATATATAATAAAACACATAGCAATTTGAATTTGTATCTTCTACATATTTTTCTCTTAAAAATATCACATCACTCATGTCTATCACATGTTTAATCATTTATATATTTCCCTCATAAAACCATCACATCATTCATTTATATCATGTGTTTAATCATTTGATTAATTTGTAGTTAATATAATTTTTATTTCAAACATTATTCAAATACGATAGTATACAGATGTTGAAAAAATTTAATATAGTGGGATCGATTTTTTTGGCGCTCAAATTTTATATTTTATCATGCCTTCAGGCATGAGTTATGACTAGTATATTATATATAATTTAGCTATATTTTTAGAGATAATAAGTTGTGTCTATCCTTAAAATTGACCTTGATTTGTATATTTATGAGTCTTTTTGTTTCTAAATTCGTAGATCAAAATTTAAATTATTTGTAATTGGCCTATAATCGACATCTAATTTTCTAAGATTGATGATTGATTTGTTTCAATTAAATTCTAGAGGTATTATTACGCTTACTTATTGAATTCATATTTAAATAACTTTGCAATTTTGATATAAAATAAAAAAATACGCCAAGGTCAATTTTCTAAGATCGTTGAGAAACAGTTTGAGACAAATTTATTGTTCAAATCAACTCTTAATTGAAAATATAGTTTATCTATTATATCTCTATATGTGTATGATTCGAGAGTAATTAGCGATTGACTTCAGGATGAAAATTTGATAAAAAAATAAGATTATTTTGTAATGACCTTTTTCATTTATATTTTAATATTTTTTGATATTTTCCTTTTATTATATCTTTTTTATGGACAGTTTAAATTTGTAATCTACACCATTTTATTAACATACATAAACTTAGAGTCATCTTTGTGAAAGCCTAAAGTCATTAATCACTTCATATTATAGAGTTGACCCTAGCAGGGGCGGAGCTAAGAATTAATATAAGAGTGGACACTTAAATTGAAAATTATATCTTTTTCCTTCCGGCCAACTAGAGTAAATGATACAAAGTAGATTCTGAAAATCATATTTAATTCCTAAAACTTTGCTAAACACAAATAGCTAAAAGCTGATATGTGTTGAGTGTAATTAAAAACAATAAAAAAATTATAATTACGTCATCTTACATTAAAAAAAATGAGATTAATTATAGCCCTTAACAATTAATCTCTTTCTAAAAAAAGTTACCATAAGGTCGCAATTGTGGAAGAGTCCCACTTACTATCTTGGCATTGTTGATACTTCAATTGTTCTTCCTCGTTTTCATATTCTAACTCAAAGTGTCATTGATTTGTGTGGTGATCTAAAAAGTATATGTGAATAAGATGAATAAATAAAAAGAGTTTCCATGGATTACGGGTGTGGGCATTGCTAACTAAGTATTGTTGGGTCATGAACTCATGGGTGGACACCACCGGTGAGTTAATTCATAAAACATCTATTATACATGTAAGTAATAAATATAATTTTTTTTTTCAGGGTGGGCCGGTGCCTCCTCTGACCTAT